ATGTCACTGGCCTCAATATAAACTCAAGGACAGAAAAGTCAGGCCTGTAACTGGATCTCTGAATTTTAACACTACTGTCCAACTAGATTTGTTTTGCAAAAATGAAGACAAGTGGAAGAAATGCCTTATACTCAGATGTTCGTGGCTCTTTACCAACACAGGGATTAAGAAAGTCTTGTAGAATGTTTGTTCCTACAAAGAGAGATGACTTAGAGAAAAAAACACCTTCCTCACAGCCCTGGTAAGAGGTTGGCCTATGTTTCTAGAGATTCAAACAAAACCCATGGTGAGTGCAGAACAGCCTGCTCCCGCTCACTCCCCTGCTGCTTCCCAAACAGCAGCAGCACCTGTTTCATTTCTCTGTCTGTGCTGCAGAACTGCCAGCGCCTGCCCAGGTTTACAGTCCTGCTACCACCAGGAGTGAAACTCAGTAACACCCAAACCTTAACATGTCACCTCTGCAGGAAGTAGCAAACAGGGAGCCTGGTTAAGAATTATTCACACATATGCTCCCTTTTCTATGTAGTAAGAAGCAAGGAAAATTCCAGAGCCAGTGCAATAGGAAAACTGAGACAAGAAAATTAAACAAAGTCAAAAAGTTTGAGCAATTTACAGCCAGCAGGTAATTCACAAGACCCTATCTCCCCTAACCAGGGACACTTGAGCACAAATGGTTCATAACTCCCCTCCCTGACCAGAGAATACACAGCTTCAATCTCCCTGGTCTGGAACATAGAGAACAGAGATCAAATGTCATCTGTGCCAGCTAACCCAAACACATGAATTCAGGGGAGCAAGTAACAATAAACCCCATTAAAGCTAGCCACACTCAAGATAAAAGTAAACCACCATAGCACACCAAAGAATATTCCCAAACTTTCCCCTAAGATTGTCACAGACCAAGTGGAAATAAAAAGCTCTCAGGACAAAGGCTCAGGGCTGGCTGGTTCTGGAGCACATCCATGCCTCTTCCCTGGCATGAACTTTGTACTTCCTCCTAAACTCTACCTTGTCTGCATGAGATTTGCAGCCACTGGCATCTTGACTCCAAACTACCCTTTGAAAATGTCTGCAAGGCTTCCTTTTCTGTCTTCCCTGTGACCTGAAAGCAGCCTTCTCGTGGCTCACTCCTTTCTTACAACTTTTCTAAGGAGCCAACACAAAGCACCACCTAGTCTCCTGTTACTTCCTCTACCCCAAGTCCTTCCTTGGTTGCACTGTCCTCAGTCTTCATAAAGATATTCTGAAAATCACATGGACTCCTGTTGTGAAATCATTCCTGCACAAAGTAAAAACACCACACACTACAGGCTGCCTGAGGAGGATCCGCTCCACGTTGGTTCCTTCCTGTCACAATTTGACTGTGGGTACCATTTGAGAATCAGAGATTCAAATGCAAGGTGCCTCACTCAGACCATGGGAAGTCTGATCATGTCCACCTATTTCACTATACATGAGATTTCAGATTCCAAAACACCCTGCACATCCTGATGCCATCAGGTCTCCTTCAGAGACCTGTTCCATCCCAAGAGCCCCCATGATATAAGACCAGAAAAATGGGGTTACATTACACTACAGAAAAAGGGCTTATTGCATTATCAAATGAGTGGACTTTTTCAACTGATAAAGAATATTAGTACTGCAGGCTAAAATGAAAAGTGGCAGTGCATTGTGCAAAATATAGAGAAAAAACATTAAAACTTGATTCCAATACAAAAAAAATTTATTTCATAAAGCAAGAAAGGTTAGAAATGAGTGAATCTCTAACATGCATCTTTGTTCTTTCACTGTCCTTTTGTTATAAGAAACTGACAAAACTACTATCAGATTAGCTAGAACATAGGATCAGACACATAGCAAAGATACAGACATAGCAGATGCACATCTGAGAAAAGGATCATCATAAATCCTTATAAACATAATTATGAAACAACAGTACGATAGCAGTACAATGTTAAAAAAAAGTTTATATCAAAACATGACTGGCCAAACCAAATATTCTTTAGGATGTGGAGGAACAAAATCATTCACACATGGCTGGAAGAATGCAGAAACATACAATCAATTTAGATAAAAAATTGCTAATTTCTGTTACTTAAGCACTCAGCTACCCTACGACTGAGACTGTGCACTGACTTATGGACAAAGGTAAATGAAACATATGTCTATATAAAGAATTATAACAAATATTTAGCCCTGACTGATGTGGCTCAGTGGATTGAGTGCCGGCCTACAAAACAAATGGTCACTGGTTCAATTACCAGTCAGGGCACATGCTTGGGTTGCAGGCCCTGTCCCCAGTAGGGGGCACGTAAGAAGGCAACCACACATTGATGTTTCCCTCCCTCTCTTTCTCCCTCCTTTCCCCTCTCTCTAAAAATAAATATTTTAAAACAAAAACAAGTATTTATACCAGATTAATTTTAAATAGTCAAAGATTAGAAATAACCAAACTGAATGGATAAATGCATAGTGCTACCTTCAAAGATGAGAAGATTTCTGACTTCTGGCCAAGATACAGGCATAGGTAGATACACTTTGCTTCCTCCACAACTGAAAGGACAACAAATTTAAAAACAAAAAAAATAAACCAGAACTGCCAAAAATCAAACTGTATGGAGTCTGACAACCAAGTAGTTAAAGACATTCATCCAGAGTGGTAGGAGGGGCAGAGACAGGCAGCTGGGGTGAAGATGACTGTTACAGTTGCAGACTGTGTGGGCAAGGCTCCGGCTGGCAGAAGAAAGGTCCAACATTTGTGTGCAGATAAACCAGGAGAAACTACTGGAGGGTGAGACAGACCACACAACCAAGGGTTCAAACATGGGAAACTAAAGCCTCAACACCAGTGGCTGTGAAAACCTGTGGAAGTCACAGTGGCGGGAATAACTCCCAGTCTCATAGGACAGTCCAATGGTGGGACACACGAGTCCCTAGAATGTACACAAACCCACCCAACCAGGAGGCAGCACCACAAGGGCCCAATTCTCTGGTGGGGAGCAGGAGAAATGACTGAAAGTGGAGACACAGCCAAGCAAGCCACATGGTTCCCTCTCAGACCCTGACCTGATATACAGCACTTACAACTTAGGGAAGTGGGTTACCCTGCGCTGATGAATACCTAAGGCCCTGTCCCTTACCATGTAAGACCAGCACCAAGACAAAGAAATATAGCCCAAATGAAAGAACACATCAAAGCTCCAGAAAAACAACGAAGCAATGAGGAGATAGCTAACCCACAAGATGCAGAGGTCAAAACACTGGTAATCAGGATGCTCACAGAAAAACCTGAGTATGGTTGGAAAATAGAGGAAGAAGTGAAGCCTATGAAAAGTAAAATAAAGGTATGCAGGGAACCAACAGTGAGGGGAAGGAAACCGGAACTCAAACTTAACTATTTGAAATAGAAGGAAAAAATAAATATTCAACTGGAATGGGAGGAAAAAACAGCATTCAAAGAAATGAGAAAGAGGCATAGGAACCTTTGGGACAACTTTAAATGTTCCACTGACCGAATCATAGGGGTGCCAGAAGAAAAGGAACAGCAAGAAATTGAAAACTTATTGGAAAAAGTAATAAAGGAAAACTTCCCCAAACTGGCCTAGGAAATAGACTTCTATGCAGTCCAGGAAGCTCAGAGAGTCCCAAAGAAACTGGACCCAAGGAGGACCACAACAAGACATATCATAATTAAATCACATAAGATTAAATATGAGAATCCTAAAAGCAGCAAGAGAAAAGCAGGAAGTTACCTACAAAGGAGATCCCATAAGACTATCAGCTGATTTGTCAAAACAAACCTTCCAGGTATGAAGGGGATGAAAAGAAGTATTTGTATCCATTAAAGGAAGGACCTATATGCAAGATTACTCTATCCAGCAAAGCTATCATTTAGAATGGAGGGCAGACAAAGTGCTTCTCAGATAAGGTCAAGCTGAAGGAGTTCCTCATCAACAAGCCTTTATATATGAAATATTAAAGTGACTTATCTAAGAAAAAAGATCAAAATTATGAATAAAAGGACAACAGATTCACAAGTATCACCAACTGAACCTAAAAACAAAAATGAACTAAGGAGACACCTAGAACAGGAACAGAATTACAGAAATGGAGATCACATGGAGGGTTATCAGTGGGGATAGGGAGGGAGTAGAATGGGGGAAATGGTAGAGGCAATACAAAGCATAAATGGTAGGTACAAAATAGACAGAGGGAAGCTAAAAATAGTATAGCAAATGGAGAAGACAAAGAACTTATATGCATGACCCATGGAAATGAGCTGTTGAGAGTGGGGTGCAGGGCAGAGGGGGAGAAAAAATAGGACAACTGTAATAGAATAATAAAAAAATATATGGCAAAAAGAATTATTTCTCAGCAAAAAGAGATGAGTCACTAATATATCATTAATCTCAAAATATATATGCAATGTATATGATAGCGGAATGTTAGTCACATCATCTAAACTGAAGAAACTGCATAGCTATCTATTAGAATGGAATGAAAATCACTGTTTACTTCCAGAGCTATGAGGGGTAGGAGAGATTAAAATGGCCATGAGGTAAATTCCCAGAGACAGTAATGGTCAGTACTATGACAATGGTGATAGTTTTAATGTCACGTGTAAGTGAAGACTGATCAACCATTATACTTGAAATAAGTATATGATGTTTATTAATTATAACACTTTTAAATAGATAAAGGTCTTTAAAATGTGTACATGCAACTCATTTTGAAAATAGGGTTAGCAACTCTATATAGCAATCCATGTTCCCATACACTCCGTGTGACACTTTGCCTCAGTAACAGCAAATAAAGCAAAAAATAAAAAACTCACTGAAAGCAACAGCACTGCTGGCTGGGTCAAAATAGCTACACCCCTGAAAACAGATTCACTTTTTCTTTCTAACAGGGCACCAGTGGCTCTTACATGAACATCTCAGAGGTGACAGCAATCCACAAACTTTTAAAAACTTTTTATTCATCTTGGAGGGAAACAGAAAGTAGGGGACAGAGGAGGAAAGGGAGAAAAGAGGTGGGCAGAGAGAGGGAGGGTGGGAGGGGAAGAAAGAAAAATCTGGATTTTTGGTCCTACTACATGTGCATTCATTTCTTGCTTCTTATATGTGTCCTTACCAAGAATTCAAATCAGAACCATGACATATCAACATGATACTCTACCCAACTGAGCTACCTGTTCGGGGCCACAAAACCTGCTGATTATATTCAATGACAATGACTGAATCAACAGAGATAAATATTCCTGCAGATCCTGCCTTTTGTGTACACACTGATCCTATACTCTTTTTCTCAGAAACGTTTCTGGATAAACACTGAGAAAATGAACATTCTGTCTAGTTGCCTCAGTCTCCTCCAGCACCTGTCACAGCAGTGTTTCTATTGCAATCACAGTTTCCCTCACCTCTATGGTGCTACCACTTGGCCACCCCCCATGGAATTGCCGACATTATGGCACATGGCACTTTGGAAGGCCTGGGCCAGAGATTCCCTGCAATAATATTACCATCCTTTACATGAAAAAAATTCATGCTGTTCCCAGACATATTGAGGTTGTCATACCTACCCTTTCCTTGCAGTGGCATCCATGTCTTCTGAAACTCACAGCATTTAAGCTTCTCCTAAGAACTAGACAGCCCACAGTCTTCCTGAGGGGATATGAGCAGGAATGCAGTCTGGCAAAAACCACTGCGTTGATTTCTGCACCAAACTGTCCCCACAGAGGCAGAGAAAGTTGAGACACACATAAAAGTTGTTCACTTCTTGATGCTTGTGGGGCCCAAAACTGCTTATGAACTATCCCACACAATAAGTAGAGCACCCAAGATTAAAGAAGACTTGGAAAAAACTTCTCCATTATCTTACCAAGCCAAGAGAGATTAGCTTGGCAGTTCTGTCATTGGTATTCTGCACACTCAAAAACGATCTCTGCCTATGTAAAAATGAGCATGTTCCACAAAAATGCAGTCCTCCTACAAGCTGACATCTGAATTCAGATGATGTTTTCTGGGCCAAAATTGAGTCAGGTCACTGCACCAAGTAGTGGGAGTACAAGGAAAAAAGACCTAAAAAGTTAGGCTACTCCTCATTTTCTCCAACAAATCACACAATAGTTACCTTTTCTGGCCACATCAACCATGATGACTCATGGAATCTCTTGGAACATTATAGATGGTACACAGGATATACCTTCAACAGAAATATGCAGTGACATGGACCTGGCAAACTACCTGGGTAAATCAAGAAAGTGCAACACAGACACACAGGCTTCACAAATGAGAGGTTATCATGGGAACCTCCTTACTGTTGGTGCTTGGCTGTATGAGATATGGTTCAGCCAAGGCTTCACAGAATTCTGTTATTTTTACCATGAAAGTAAAATCCTGTACATGTCCTAATATCTAAGACCTTCTGCACATTCACTGTACTAACAAGGCCTTTCTCCTGTGTGAAATCTCTCATGATAGTGCAGGCTAATTTTACTGCAATAAGATTTCCCACATTCACTGCACACATAAGGCTTTCCTCTTGTGTGAAAATTCTGATGATAACGTAGGCCAGAGCTACTACGGTAAGATTTCCCACATTCACTGCACTCATAAGGCCTTTCTCTTGTGTGAAGAATCTGATGACTACGAAGGCCAGTTTTACTGTGATAAGATTTTCCACATTCACTGCATTCATATGACTTTTTTCCTGTGTGAATACTCTGATGACGATGAAGGCCACTTTTACTGTGATAAGATTTCCCACATTCACTGCACACATACGGCTTTTCTCCTGTGTGAATATTCTGATGACAACGAAGGCGAGTTTTACTGTGGTAAGATTTACCACATTCACTGCACACATAAGGCTTTTCTCCCATGTGAATATTCTGATGACAACGAAGGCCAGTTTTACTGTGGTAAGATTTCCCACAGTCACTGCACACATAAGGCTTTTCTCCTGTGTGAATATTCTGATGACAACGAAATTCATGCCTTCGGAAGAAGGATTTCCCACATTCACTGCACTCATAAGGCCTTTCTCCAGTATGAACTCTTTCATGACAATGAAGTACACTCTTTAGAAAGAAAGATTTCCCACATTCACTACACTCATAAGGCCTTTCTCCAGTGTGACGACTCTTATGAGAGCAAAGGGCACTTTTAGTCAGATAAGATTTCCCACATTCACTACATTCATAAGACCTTTCTCCAGTGTGAATTTTCTCATGCAAATAGAGGCTACTTCTTCTTTTAAAAGACTTCCCACATACACTGCACTGATAAGGCCTTTCTGCAGTGTGAACTGTCTGATGACAACGAAGTTGAGACAACTTTTTAAAAGATTTCCCACATTCACTGCACTGATGGGGCTTTTCTCCACTGGGAACTCTCTGACAATAACAAAACCTAGAAATTCTGGAGACATTTTTTCCACCATCATGGCACACAAAACACTGTCTTCCAGTATGGACATCCTTCTTTTGAACATAGGCATGGTTGCAGCCAATGGGTTTTTTACATTCACTGAGGGTGAAATAATTTTCTCCGTTTTGAATAGTGTCTCCTCCATATGGTGAGATTTCATTTGGCCTGTCCCTGGTGTGTGTAGCCTCTTGTTGGAGATGTTCTGACTTGGTGAGAATGTCCTGTCCAAACTCCCCACAGATAAAAAGCTTCTGGGACACACTGACATTGCAGCCCTCTGCAAGTAGGATCCTGTCCCCACCTCTTCCGAAAGGCTTCTCTCTCACATTGTGCTCTTGGTACTGGTGACACTTTGTACTGATGTAAAATGGTTTTGCACATGCTGCACACCGCAATGATTTCTGGCTGTGTTGTGTGCCCTGCTCTTCAGTCAAGTGGAAAATGTATCTCAGCACTGGCCCACAACTCCCACATGGGTGGCTCTTCTGGGAAGACAAAGCCACCTTGGGATTCTCTGCCTGTACCACTCTTACAGAAATGTTTTGTTCAATCAGTTCTTCCACGTCCTCTGTTCCACAGCAGCAACCTGAACAAAAGGAAACACTGGTGAAGTATATGTTGACCTTATGAGGAAAAAATATCCTCAGCATAAATGGCCAGCTCTCACAGCTAGGCATGATTCTATGAACTCATTTTCAAGAGACTTGAGTTACACATTGAAGAAATGACTATTATACATTACTTGGCCAATAAGTACTGCAGTGTTGGTGACCTCACCAAAAAAGAGCCAGGAGCGTAGGATAAAACACAAAGTAGAAGTCCTGGCTGGCGTAGCTCAGTGGATTGAGCGCGGGCTGCGAACCAAAGTGTCGCAGGTTCGATTCCCAGCCAGGGTACATGCCTGGGTTGCAGGCCATAACCCCCAGCAACCGCACATTGATATTTCTCTCTCTCTCTCTATCTCCTTCCCTTCCCTCTCTAAAAAATAAATAATAAATAAAATATTAAAAAACAAAACAAAACACAAAGTAGATAGTCAGGGTCTACTACTATTCTTCCACAAATGGCTTCCTATAGGATCTTTCCCACTGGTGAGGTGAGGCTGTGTAGAACAATCTGAATGAGCTCAAATTCATCAGCATCAATTGTACTAGAGCCTGTGATATTCATTATCAATGTAATGATATGTGTGCACTCCAAAAGTCTGTGAGTATAGACCAAAGTTAGAGTGAAGTAAAAAAATAAAACAAAACAAAACCTGTAATAGAAAGAGTTGAGGCCCTGGCTAGTGTGGCTCAATGCATTGAGTGTCAGCTTGCAAAATGAAAAGTCACTGGTTCGATTGCTAGTCAGGACACATGCCTGTGTTGCAGGCTAGCCATCCTGTTGTAGGTACACAGAGAGCAACCAATCCATGTACCTCTGACATGCAGCATGTTTCTCTTTCTCTTACTCTTATCATCCCTTCTTTCCCCTCACTCTAAAAAAATATACAATCTTTTAAAAAAATCGTTGAGGAGCAAAGTTTAGATAGGTGAAGATTACCTCTGGACTGGAAATCTGACTAGAAATGATAACTCAGAACTGAATATTTGACATTTTGTCAACAATAAACACACATAAGTAGAATAGGGTGAGGAACTGGCAATGTTAACAAAACACTAATGAACAAAATGGGTTCCTAGTTATGACTTTAGCAAAGCCCATGTGCCAAACCCTTTCCATCACTCCTTCACCAAAACGCCACAGACTCTGTATCCACGCTGGCATGGATAGAATTGTGTTTTTCCTGGAATGCCCAAATGAAATGCCCCCTTTAATCCCAGTGGAGCCATTACATGGAATACACATGATATAAATTCAAAGAGAAGAACTGAAGAGGTGGGTGGGCAACACTGTGGTAGAACAAGAAAGCCCATGAGACCACAGAGAAGAGGTCTATGTGAGTGACTTCAGCAAGATGGGTGAATAAGAAATAGGAGAATTCTTCCTTCTTCCACAAGTAGATGGCTATCCAGAAAAAAAACATCAATCCTGGAGGAGGGAAATACAGATTTAATTAAGACAAACAGAAAATCAGACTTGACCAGGTAGCTCAGTTGGTTAGAGCAGTGGTCCCCAACCCCGACCACGGACCCATACCACTCCCACTCTTCAGCCTGTTAAGAACTGGATTGCAGCTCTGGCTGGCATAGCTCAGTGGATTGAGTGCGGGCTGCGAACCAGGCATCACAGGTTTCATTCCCAGTCAGGGCACATGCCTAGGTTGCAGGCCATGGCCCCCAGCAACCGCACGTTGATGTCTCTCTCTCTCTCTTTCTCTCTCCCTTCCCTCTCTAAAAATAAATAAATAAAATCTTAAAAAAAAAAAAAGTACTGGGCTGCAAGTGAAGCTCCCCTGAAGGAAAGGGGTCCTCCTGTCTCCTCCTGGACCCAACCACAGTGGGTGAGCAAGAAGCTCACTTGAGCTGCACCTCCCAGTTCCCCTCCCCTCAACCCCCTACACTCCCATGTCACCCACCCCACCTTCCAGTATAAAGGTTCCCAGGGCCAAAAAGGATGGAAACTGCTGGGCTAGAGCATCCACCCAATAAGCCAAGATTGTGGGTTCAATCCCTGGTCAAGGCACATACAAGAAGCAATCAATGAATGCATAAATAATTGGAACAACAAAGTGATGATTTTTCCTCTTTCTCCCTTCCCCTTGTCTCTCTAAATTCAATAAACAAGCATACATACATACAAACAAACACAAAGGACAAGCAGCAAAGCAATGTGCAAAAAACATAGAAGAGCACAGAAAAGAAGACAGCAAAGATGGGTTAACAAACAAGTTTAAATATAACAAGGGTCACAGTTACTTCAATCAACTACTGTGATTGCACTCAGGTTGGCCTTGGTGGACTATTCTGTGAAAAACAAAGGAAATTTTTGCTTTGAACAAGTGGAGAAGGCCCTGGAACATCTGTGAACTCCACATGGTTTATAAATCAGAGGACCCTACAGAGTTCCTTGGCATGAAACTGAAAACACATCCCTTTGTCCACAACCTAGTCCAGGAAGAACCAAAAATTCAGTGCCATCAAAGACTTCAAAACTCTTGACTGTCATTGAAAAGAAATGCTACCAAACCAACAGTTGACCTGCACATTTTTTTCTTATTCTGACCTTACCTCATGTAGCATCAAGGAGACTAGGTTGGTGGGACTTGTCTAAGACTGAGACACAACACCAACTCAGGTGACCCTGAAATCCACGTGTAGATGAATCTATCCCTCTAGCCAGAATTAGTCCATAAAATGGAAAGGAGTTACTGCTTCAGCAAATGCATAGACATTAATAGAGGTTTAAAAGAATACTAAAAACAAGAACATGACCAAGAGAACATAATAATTCCCCAATGATTGATAACAAACACATGGATTTCAATGTACAGCCTGATAAGGAATCCAAAATATTTACTTTCAAAAATATCCATGAGCCACCAGACAATGCAAAGGCAACCAAGTTAAAGAAGAAACCAGCATAAGAACAATAGAATATCAGGTACACAGAAAAATTTAAATAATAAAACAGCACTGATTGATGTGGCTCAGTGGATTGAGTGCTGGCCTGTGGACCAAAAGGTTGTCAGTTCAATTCCCAGTCAGGGCACATGCCTGAGTTGAGGGCCAGGTCCCCAGGGTGGGCCATATGAGAGGCAAAAGCAAACTTTGGTGGCATCACACTTCCTGACTTCAATCTACAAGAAAGCCACACCAACCAAACCATGTGTCATTAAAATGAACACCGACCAATAGAACACAACAGAAAACACAGAAATTAACACAGGTACTGACGTTCAACTAATCTTTGACCAGAAAAAAAATGCAAAACATATGAGGAAAAAAAAAACAGTTTGCTGAGTAAATAGTGTTGGGTAAAATGGACATTCACATGTAAAACAAAAAAAAATGGATACCACTGATAAAAATGAGCTCAAACTTCATGGAAAATTCAATGTCAGTGCTGAAACTTAAAACTTCTTCACACAAGCTACAGAAGTTTTAGACTTGCGCTTTTTAAAATCATATAATTATCTCTTAAAAGAGTTTTACTTACTTTCTCCTCAAGAGATGGGAAGAGAGAGAGAAAAAGAAGGAGAGAAACACCAATGTTTAAAAGAAAAATTAATCAGTTGCCTCCCACACACAACCAACTGGACCCCCAGACTGCAGTCCAGGCATGTGTCCAGACTTTGAATACAACAGGCAACCTTCCAGACTCCAGGACTTAGCCATAGCGGTCAGGGCTGAAAATTTGTTTTTCAAATAATCTTTTGAATATGACCACCATCACCATGCAAAAAAGCAAATATAAACAGACTGGACTACCACAATGAAAAAACTTCTTCACAGGTCAGCATATAACATGATGAAATGAAAAGGCAGCCCTGACCAGTGTGGCTCAGAGGGTTGGGCATCGTCCCTCAAAGCTAAAGGTAGCCTGTTGTATTCACTGTCAGGACACATGAGTAGACTGGGCATTCAGTCCCTGATGGGGGCAGGAGAGAGAGGGGAAGGAGCAATGTTTCATGGTTTTTCTCCCTCCTTTCTCCTCTATCTAAAAATAGAAGTCAATATAATATAAAAATACTAATCTTAATAAAAAAGAAAAAAAGGCAATCTCAAGAAGGAGAAAATACTTCTAAAACATAAAAATATGGCTTAGAGGTATTCTGGGTTCAGGTGACAAAATCTCACATAAATTTATGAAGGCTATTAACAAAGTAAAACCTTAGTTTAAAAAAAAGGAGAGAGAGAAAAACCCTCTTCATAGCTTAACTGAAAATAACTTATCCCTAAACACTGGTAACCAGCATTTGAGCCTGCTGAAAAATTGGCAACATTACACTTGCTGAATGCAGGGAGGCCATATTGAAATTATTAAAAACAGAAAACAATAAACCCAGTCTCTGCAAACCAAACTTAAATGAATGAGAAAAACTGTGTATTAGTAGCTGAAAAGTAATTACTATATAAAATATACAAGGGATTCAAAAGGCTTATTAGCCAAAATTGTACAGACACTTTTCCAAAATATGTATATAAAAATGACCAACAGGAATGCAAAAAAAAAAAAATACTTTTTGTCACAAATCAAGGTGGTATCTATTAGTCTCCATGCAACATTCCAAGTCACAAATCCTTCCCTGTGAGTTCACTACAACGGGTACTGGTATTGCAGGGGGAGAAAAGGGTGGTGCAAACAAAGCAGCCCTACCAAGGAAAGGAACTACTCAGAAAACTGGAAAATCGAGCAGCACTTCTAGTCCACGTATGAGGAGAGAGTACCCCCTAGAGAACAGGGGGCATAAGGAAGTGCAAAGCCTGGTCCACACCACTGGCACAGTGAAGGCATTACCCAGTGAAGATATAAGTTCAAAGTTCTCCAGCATCACATCCAGGTACAGACGTCTCTGAGCTTCATCAAGGAGATGCCATTCTTCCCTGGAGAAGTACAGGGCAATGTCTGCAAAGGTCACGCCAACCTGTCACAATGGAGACAAATGAACGAAGAGCTGTATATCTGAGAACCCACCCCGCCTCCCATATTACTTCTTAAAAATCTTCCCCTCCCTGTTATTTCCTCCAGGGTTCCTCAGTTCAGTGTGGACATCAGGCCTTAATGCCAACACTGGCTGCTTTCTCATCACAGTCCCATTAATTATTGTTATCACGGTCAGCAACAGCAATGTGGCGAAACACAGACAAAGGTCATCGAAGCTCCCGGCCACTACTACCGGCCCATCCTTCTAGCCACAGTCTCCCAGATCATGCCTCCAAGGCACAGCCAAGCATGAGCTTAGGATTCACCCCCATATCCTCACACCAGGGCCCAGGATATCCAGCTCACACTCCCTCTAGGTGTGCACACCATTGTGGAATGTCTGCCTCCTTCATATCTTCAGACCCCAGTTTCTCTCCCTCAGGTCTGCCACCTTCCTGCTGCACACAGCACGGGCATATCTCTCTGGACTCACCCATAAACTAGGCATACGGCAGCCAAAGAGTGCTTGATATGTTCCGGCAGGATCCCGCACACCCCAGTTTTCTGTTGGATCTCACACACGGTAAAGACCCGAATCATTGGCTCTGAAATCCACCCTGCCTCCTCTTTGCTCTTTACTTCAATAATCCTCACTGACTTCCGCACGGGAGTTTCAGTTATGAATAAGCCCTGTCCACTCTGCACCGCACTTTGTGTCCTCAGAATCCACAACACTCCTCTCTCCAGTGAGCCTTCCTCTCCGACCCACCCGCGAAGCTTGGGCTGCAGGGCGTCCGCACACTGGATGCGGGGTTCGGTGTGGTGAGGCAGTTGAGGTGAGTGGAGGTGTGAGGGGACACGCACTTACCTCAGCCGGGCGTCTCGGCGAGGCCGCCAACACACTCTGAGCTCCAGGCCAGGACTTAGCAGCGGAAGGGGAGGCTGCCCCCGCCAGGGCGACTGCTGCCCTGGCGACCCCTGTCTCGGGCCTGGCGCGGGCCACCAGGGCATCGTCGCCCAGCTTCTCCCTCTCAGGTGAGCTTTGTGAACCGCGAATCTGGCGCCTTCTCTGCTCGGGCATCTCCACCAGCACCCAGAGAACTGGACCTTCTGAGCAAGTAATGAAGGGGATTCTGGCTGAAGGAATTTGCCCGCCACGGAAAGGACGCCGGATGTCCCGCCCCTGCAAGTGTTTCCCAACGGAAATGACTTTTAAGACATGCCTGTCCCCCGAATTGGGTAGACAGGGCGGTATTCCCTGAACGGTGTCCTGAGATTCCAAGGCCGTGACTAGGGGTTGTCCCACATCACTACAGTAGTAATGACCAAGGCCAATGGCTGAAGGCGCTGGGAAATAATAAGGTTTGCACAAAGGACGCTTCTTCAATATGGCTAAAGAAAGTCATCATGTTTTCCTGGTAAAAGGGTTTCAGCCCATATTAATTAAAGCAAATTATCTCTGAGGCCAGCACAGGAATTCATAATAAAAAGGGCAGGCCTGAATTGCAGAGTCCTGAAAATATTTACACAATAACCTACTTATATCGTCATATATGTATGTGACGAGTATAACACAAGACTGTAGGACAAGCCTTTGAACAAAAATACTAAATGCCTAATATAAACAGTAAATGGAATTCTATTGTTCATTTATAACTTGAACATCAATTTATCAATTAAGATAAATAATTTAAGTGAGAGAATTTAATTCTGACAGTGATTGGTGTCTTTGTTAATGTGTAAATGCATTTGTATTTATCATAGTGAAAGAGAATTTGTTCTTTACTGACATATTTAAGACATGAGTTGAAATGATATTTCAGGCATATTCAATGATTCATATTACAAACATATGTATACATAATACTTAGGGTAAAAAGTATATATTTATAATGATAGTTGACCCATGTATATAGCTCAGACACTTTAAAAATCACATGAACCATTATAAGTAACAAGTAATTATGGGTATGCATATGTGTAATAAACATTAAATTTCATTATAATTAGGTAAGAAGCATTTCCTATTGAAAATGTCAGAGCAGCCCTAGCCAGTGTGGCTCAGTGGATGAGTGCCAACCTGTGAACCAAAGGGTTGCTGGTTCCATTCCTAGTCAGGGCACATGCCTGGGTTGAGAGTCGGGTCCCCAGTTGGGGATAGATGTGCAAGAGGCAACCACATGTTGATGTTTCTCTTGCTCTCTTTCTGCCTCCCTTAGCCTCTCTCTAAATATAAATAAATAAAATATCTTTTAAAAAAAGAAAATTTTAGAGCATCTATAACACTGAAATAGGAACCACAATTTGAAATAATTGAACTAAGTAATGTACCAGACTTCAGAAAAATCTAAAAACTTACCAGAAATCATAAAAGTCACTTGTACATGAACTTAATCCCCAGCACCCTGGAAATGGCACAAGGATCTCAGCAGTGGCCTGACACTGGAGGGGAACTACTCCCATGGGAAGACTCTACAGTGTTTTCTTGTACATGAAACATCTTTCCCATTAAATCAAATCCCTTGCCCCCTCCTTTAAATGTGTGCTCTTAACCTCCTCAGGATCCACATGCTTCTCACTCCTGAGTGCTGGTCAATTTATGGTTCCACATAACAGATCAGCTAACAATGTATTATACCATGGAAGATTTTCCTTTGGAATTGTTGGCTGCTCCTTCAGTAAAGCCTTGCAACAACCCTGGTTGTGATCACATTTCTTTAATCACTGCTGTGTAACACACTCCTAGTTCAGCCTCTAAAGCACTGAGATAATTAGTAAGTGATAATTACAGCAATGAAACATAATGCCATGGCTATTCCCCACAATTCCAATTTTGTCTCCTCACACCTTACTGTATCTTTCTCACCTCACTTTTTTCTCCTCAAATTCTAATGAATACAAGGGATTCACATTTTGTAGAAATGAGACTTTCATGGTAGCCAAGTTTCCCTCATAGCTATAGTTCAAGTAAACACTCTTACCTCTTAGAACTCACTGTCCAATAATGACCACCCACTGAGACCTACCTCTTGTCAGGCTTCAGAATGTGTTGTCTTCTTGCTATTTAAAAAATGTTCATGTAAGGGGAGGTCAGTATAAGGGGATTAAATGACAGTGCAAAAAAGTCAATACAATTTGAAAAAAATTTTCAAGAAGAAAAAGAAAAAATACTTAGAGATTTGGCATAAATTGATCAAAACCTTTCAGAAAAGGGAAAATAAAGACTACTGAAAAGTAAAAAATTTAAGAAGTGAAAAATGCTGATTTTATACTCTACTAATCATTATTCATAGCTTTCTGCAGTGTTCTCACCTAATTTTTATTCCAGGAAGAATTTCCAGTCCCATGGAGATACTGTCACTGCATTACCCAGTGTAACTGTCATCATTTACCCGCAAGGGGGTGAAATCCTGAAGTGAAAAACTTTTCTCTCAGGTTCAGATGCCCACACTCCCAAACCACACAGATTCCAACATTGCAGCCATCCTGGCACCAAATGTAAATTTTGTACATTGTTCTTGATTCCAAGTACATGTCATACTCTTAGATTTTTGGAATAGACCTTGTCTAGAAAATTCAGTAAGAAATGTCATATGCAAATACAGGTGAAGTGATCATTATTTCCTGCCAAAGAGATGAGATCTTTGGATCCAAAACCTTTTTTTGGAGTCAGATGCCCACTTGCAACACCTTCATGGATGACAACCTTTGTAGACATCTTGGTAGCAAATGTAAATTTTCTAAAGAACTGTACTCCCAGATATATGTTCTATTCTTAAAAAATACAAACCATATCATGAAAATACATTAAGAAATGTTATGGTGGGAAACAAATATTTCCTGGGGTTGCAAAACAAATACCAAGAAAGACCCAGGTGGGATATAGGACCTGCAGGTTACATTCAGCCAGATGACAGTCATGGCGCTCTATGGAGTGACCAAGAGATAGAGTCCCAGGTTGATACCCCACACACAGAGGCCGCAGTGCCCACAGCACCTGCCTCCCTGCATGTGGGTCAGCAGGTTGCTTCAAGTCTGATTACATTCACAAACACACCCCAAAACAAAGGTGCTTGTGAGTACTGGGGGAGTGAGGGGTGCCTGTCCTGGGAATAATTCTGCAGGCAGAGGTGGCAGTGGTCTGAATCTGGGCAGGCTGCAGTCACATCCACAGCTCTGCAAATGCACACCTCAGCACTTGACCTTCTCCAACAGCCTAGAAATGAAACACACCTTACACTCATTTTACAGATGAGAAAACTGAAGCCCAGAACAAGAAAAGGGTTCATTTTTTCAAAGAACAGAAAGAAGCCAAGAAAATATCTGGGCCAGCGGAATGAAGAAACTGAGACAAAGACATTAAACACAGCCGAAGAGTTTGAGCCACTTATAACCAGCTGGTGAATCACAAGAACTCATCTCCCCTAACCAAGGACACTCAGAGGATATGGTTTATGCCTCTCCTCCATAACCAGAGAATACATGATTTGAGGCAACGCAGTCTGGAAATAGAGAAGAGACATAAGTAATGTGATTTGTGCGAGCTAAACACAAGGAAAGATAAAGTCAGGTGAACAAATAACCAAAACCCTTTTATAAGCCACACAGAGCCATGATGCAAGTGAAAGAGTATAGACCAAAGAATATTCCCTAATAAACCCATGTGCTCATTTTGATGCATCAGCATATTTTTAAAAATATATTTTATTGACTATGCTATTACAGTTGTCCCATTTCCCCCCTTTATTCCCCTCTGCCGTGCACATCTCCTCCCACCCACATTCCTCCTTTTTAGTTCATGTCCATGCATCATACATATAAGTTCTGTGGCTACTACATTTCCTATACTATTCTTGCCCTCCCCCTGTCTATTTTCTACCTACCATCTATGCTACTTATTCTCTGTACCTTTTCCCCCTCTCTCCTCCTTTCACTCCCCTGTTGCTAACCCTCCATGTGATCTCCATTTCTGTGGTTCTGTTCCTGTTCTAGTTGTTTGCTTAGTTTGCTTTTGTTTTTGTTTTAGGTGTGGTTGTTAATAACTGAGTTTGCTGTCATTTTACTATTCATATTTTTTATCTTCTTTTTCTTAGAGAAATTCCTTTAACATTTCAATAAGGGCTTGGTGATGATGAACTTCCTTAACTTGACCTTATCTGAGAAACACTTTATCTGCCCTTCCATTCTAAATGAAAGCTTTGCTGGATAGAGTAATCTTGGATGTAGGTTCTTGCCTTTCATGACTTAGAATTCTTCTTTCCAGCCCCTTCTTGCCTGTAAGATTTCTTTTGAGAAATCAGCTGACAGTGTTATGGGAACTCTTTTGTAGGTAACAGTCTCCTTTTCTCTTGCTGCTTCTAAGGTTCTCTCCTTATTTTTAATCTTTGATAATGTAATTATGATGTGCCTTGGTGTATTCCTCCTTGGGTCCAACTTGTTTGGGACTCTCTGAGCTTCCTGGACTTCCTGGAAGTCTATTTCCTTTGCCAGATTGGGGAAGTCTCCTTCATTATTTGTTCAAATAAGTTTTCAATTTCTTGTTCTTCCTCTTCTTGTGGTACCCCTATAATTTGGATGTTGGAACATTTAAAGATGTCCTGGAGGTCCCTAAGCCTCTCCTCATTTTTTAAAATTCTTGTTTCTTCATTCTTTTGTGGTTGAAATTTTCTTTCTTCCTTCTGGTCTACACCGTTGATTTGAGTCCCAGTTTCCTTCCCATCACTATTGGTTCCCTGTATCTGTTCCTTTATTTCACTTAGCATAGCCTTCATTTCTTCATCTAATTTGCAACCAAATTCAACCAATTCTGTGAGCATCCTAATTGCCAGTGTTTTCAGCTGTGTATCTGATAGGGTTGGCTATCTCTTCATCACTTAATTGTATTTTTTCTGGAGTTTTGATCTGTTCTTTTACTTAGGCCATTTTTTTGTCTTGGTGCACTAGTTAGGTATGAGGGGCAGAGCCTTAGATGTTCACCAGGGCGGATCAACCCACGTCGCTGGGTTGTGACGCTGTATGTGGGGAAAGGGTCCAAGAGGGTACAGTGATGCTCAGCTCTGCCAGATTTCAGTCACTTCCCCCACTACCCACAAACAAAGTGGGCCCTTCTGGTGCTGATTCCCAGCTGGGTAGGCTTGTGTACGTTC